GCTGGCCTCCTTTGAACAAACCACACAGTGTGTTTGCCTGGCTGAAACAAAACCCTGCTCTGGGTTTTCCACTGTGAAAAGGAGGAAGAATATTAGCAGACTGAAGGTACCCACTTCCTAGTGGAAGGAGAGATGCTGATCGTTTGAAACCCTCACATGGGGCAATACAAATCTCCATTGGATGTGATCAAATTCCTTCTCAGATGCTAGTTATTTATGTAGCCCCATAAATGCAGACAGTTATTTGCCATCTAATCTTGACAATCAAGTGGAATTTCAATAAAAGTCTTAGACAGGATAAAGAGCCCAGCCAACCAGCTCTTCCAAGGGGAAAGGCTTCCCCTCTGTGTCTATACGTTTATTACCAGAGATAACTGCAATATGATTCGGGGGAGGGTGATGAGGGCTTGGGTTTTGTCGTTTGTAATATCAGGGCTGGGATGACTTTTAGCTTTGTTTGTAATAAAACATGTGTGGTTTCTAATAGCTCACATTTATCTTCTAGTTTGGGCGGCCTCAGAAGCAACCAAACATTGCTGAGTTGTAGTGTCATCCCAACAGGCAACCAAGAAACACACACATTGTGCAAACCCGTCTGTTAAAGGACCCTCACTTCTGACCACTCACTGATCTCTTCCCAAGCCAGCTATACATTAACCCTGCACGTCTTGGCTCAAAGGCTTTTTCTCACTGGAAGCAGTCAGAGGAGGTAAACCAACAGTACTGCTTCAGACTGCTCTTTTATATCAAGAAATCTCTCTAAGCAGAAGGAGAGGTCAGTACACCAGCTGCAGACATTCCTGGATGACAGGGGCAGCTTGGCCTCAGGAACCCATGCTCAGATAACCTCATGGCTACACTACTGCAATGCACTTTATGTGGGGCTACCCTTGAAGAAGGTTTGGAAGCTGCAGCTGGTGCAGAAAGTTGTGGCCCAGCTATGAAGTGGGGCAGAATGCTGGAATTGCATTTCACTTATTCTGAAAGCCCTGCACTGGCAGCCTGTGTGCTACTGAGCCAAGTTCAAGAAGTACCTAATATACATTTCCATCTCACCCTGGACCATTTTCTTCAGTACACAGAATTCTGTGCATATCTATGTGTATGTATACACACACACACACACACACACACACACACAGACTTCACACATAAACACACACTGCACATTGTTAAGACCGGCCAGTGGAACACTTTAATTGTTTAACAAAAAATATTTACATTTTACAGGCATGCTGGGGAGGGGAGAGAGAAGAAAAGCAAGGGGTCTAATCTTAAAACCTCTGTGGAATTTTTCCCAAATTAGGAGGTGCATTTTGACAACCAGTTCTTCTCCCGGTTGTCTGCCAAAGACATTTTTGGCCACTGCTTCCACCATACACTGAAATGCAAACCTTGTTCATTACTTTTATTTATTACATTTATACCTTGCCTTTCCTCCAAGGAACCAAAGACCTTTTTATTACAATTGCATACATGACTCCCTGCTTCTCTATTTTATCTTCACAAGAGCCCTGTGAAGTAGGTTAGGCTGAGATGGTAGCAGCCCAAGGTCAGGCAATGAGCTTCACTGTGCAGGGGGGGGGGGCGGGTTGAACTTGGGTCTTGTCCATCCTAATCCAACATGCTAGGCACTGCTTTCCACTCCAGTCACTAAACCACCCTGACTCTAAAGGTCTCATGCAGTGTGCATGATGTGCACAGATGGACATGAGCATGACTTTTAAGGTAGACCATTCACTTGGCAATGCGCACACTCCTGTCCTCAGCCCAGAGGTAAGAAGATCCACATTGAAGTGGGCTGGAGTCAAGCAGTGTTCACTTAGGGCTTCTCCAGATGGCCGGTTTGTTGATTTGCTTGCATAAAATAGGTGGAGGTTAGGCTGTCTCCAGTCTTTATTGAGCTTTCATTCACCCCTCCCCGCCTTTTCTTTTAAAATTGTATTTACTGAAAATCAAAATAGTGTATACAATGTATCCCAAATCACCAAATGCTCTCAATAAATTCAGCCTGAATGAATCTCACACTTTATATAGCTTGCCTAGATAGGAAGAAAAATAAATGAAAGAGAAATAAAATAATTAATGAAAGATAAAACTGACAAATAAGACTGCTAACATGTTATGTAGGTTTGAGACTGAATTTCAAATCATCACAAAGTAAACATCAATCCATGCCAATTTCCCATTTTGTTCATGGTATTTGCCGTAAATAATAATGGGCTATAAAACCCATAAGGTAATCGTAAATGCTTCAAGATGCTTATATTTGTATGCTATTAGTTAAAGAACTAGTCTTAAGTTTTCTGGTTCAGAAAACTTGTAAAATTATTTGCTTTTAAAACCCATATATAATGGAGTTTGACTTCATTGCATCTTAACTTTATCCCTCGTTTCTTCTCCTTGCTGACAACCTTCCTGGTGCATTCATTGAGCTTTCATACTGGAATTTTTGTTGTTTGCAGGACAGTTATATGGCAGCAAGCAGTCGTCCTAATTTGCTTGACTAGTATTATACATATTTCGAGCCATCATTTGTCCCAGATTTGCATTGTGTTTTCTTGTCACATTTTTAACCACAAATGATCCACTTTCCATTTTAATCCCAGTTTAATCCATTTTAATTGTGCAACCCTTATATTGTGGAATGCACTTAATTCCCTTCTGCAAAAGCCTGGAGGCCACAGTAATGGGCCCTCTCAATCTGGAAGGTATGAGGTGTGCAAACTGAGAATTCTGCCTTGGACCTTTTGGGGCTACTACAATGAAGGTACTGTTTGGGCAGGAGCTCTTGGCTGGTGTTGGGTCCCCTGCAAATGCCCAGCTTTGCCACCCTTGGGAGCGAACCCTGAGCAGATCAAAAGAAAACCGCTGGAGCAAGATTGTATGAGACCAGCGCATAGCACTGCTGCCATGCCTTTTGGAGAGGATGCCAAAGCTCACAGCAGATAGATGGTTTCCTCAATGGACACCCCAGTGCTGATGAGCAATGCAAGGTCTGTGGCAAAGCATGGGCTTCATTTATTCTAAAAAGAAAACGTTTCTGAGTTTTCCCTATCAACTAGTCCCTGACCCTCCTAACTGGAGTGCTTTTCCCCACTTGTGATTCCTAGCAACTGGTATTTAGAGGCTTCCTGCCTCCAACCATGGAGGGAACATCAGAAGAACATCACAGCTGGATCAGACCAAAGGCCTCTCTCTAGTCCAGCATTCTGTTCCCACTGCGGCCAACCAGATTTCTCTTGTGGGGAAGAGACAAGCAGGGACTGAGGGCAGTGGCTCCTTCCACTCAGGTGTCCCAACAACTGGTGCCCAGAGGCACACTTCAAAGGCAGTGACTCAAAGAAACCCACAGGTAACCAATGCTGTCATTTCTGCAGGTGTAATGGGGCTTGGCTGACCTACACTAGTCCCTGGTTGGGTAGCAGCATCCTGCGCCAGCTGAAATGTTTAAACCTTCGTCCCTTGCGTGCAGCCCCACACAGAATGCATTATAGGAGTCTGATTTAGAAGTTCACAAGGCCTCCATGGTAGCCTTGCCAGATTGAGAGGTGGGAGCAACCAGGCAAACTCATCCCCCCAGAAATCGCCAAGAAGGGTACCTACACATTTTGCTTCATAACTTTCTTTCTAGGAGGGCTTTTTATACTTTAAAAAAGAAGAAAAAGAAAGCTCAACACCTGTGCCATCTGCTAGTTCTGGATCTGGTTCATCAGTAGCCCCTGTATCTGCCTCTCAGAGGACCTGGCTACTCCAAGTCACAGTAGACTTAACAGTGACTTAACAGTGAGTTAAAAAGGGGAGCAGTCTGCCTTCCTACAACACAGCTTCATAACAAAAATGGGACCATCATATCAAGTTCTCAGCCAGGAGGACTTGGAAAGTTTGACCCAAGACCTGGTGTTTGTTCCTCTCCTCCCTTTCATCCCATACAACCACTGTTCTAAATGATACATTCCATTTTAAATCCACATTTAAAGAAAAAATAATATGCACAAAGCAAAGCTGGAGCTGGATTAAATAAAAATAAAAATGTCTTGCTCTCTTTCCACCACCTGATAAGCAGCAGCCAGACTCCCTCCAATGGAGAGCCCTTTTGCACAGCCCTTGAGAGCAAATACAGCAACAGCATCTCTTCCCAGCTTCTCATAGACATTCAATCTGGGAATCCTGTTAATGAAAGGAAAACAGTGCAAGGCTGAGGAGCAGAGGCCTGGGGTGTGGTAATTTAAGAAGGCCGGGCTGGCGGCATGAATGGAAGCTTTCACTGTGGTCCAGAGAAAGCCGGTGGCACACAAGCTTGTGGAATTCAAAGACTCCTGTACATCCAAACCGGGCAGCAGAATCCATGAACACTCCAGGAATAAGGAGACAGAACTTTCCTTTAATTAGCAGGCTCAGCCTCTCGTGGGGGGGCGGAGGCCACGCTCCTCTCAGCACCCGCAAGCAGACAGTGCTGTCATGGGAGATGAAAGGGTGCAGCACAGATATCTGTTGACAAGTTGACAAAAATGTGGACAAATTGGAAAGGAGTTGTATGGAGGGGCGGGACTACAAAAATGATTATTGAAGGCTGAGTCTAGGGGGGGAAATGCTAAAGGAAAAGGAGGAATTACTTTGCCCTGGAAGAAGGTTAAGGAGGAGGTGGATGCAGGACAGTTTTCAGATCTTTGGGAAAGACCCCAGGAAGACAATCTGCATGCATTGCCCACCTCTCTTCCACCAAAAATGCGATACTGGAATGGTTGCATATGAATCATGGTTAGGGGTCAGTTTGCCTCCCCCCCCCCTTTATGTGTGCTTTGCTCCCTGTGAGGGAGTCCCTTGCCAGTTACCCCTGCTTCTTTTGTCAACAGCTGTCCTGCACATACAACTGTATTGGGCCCTTAGAAAGGAACTTGGGAAACTGCCTTATATTGAGCCACGCCGCTTGTCAATTGAGCTCAGTATTGTCTGCACTGACTGAAAGCAGCTCTCCAGGGTTTCAGGCAGTGGATAATCCAAGTCCAACCAGAGACTGAACCTGGGATGTTCTGGATGCAAGGCAGATGCTCTACCACTGAGCTACTATCTGTGGCATTTGTATGCCTCTTTCCACTGTTTGCAGTTCCTCTACTCCAGGGGTCAGCAAACTTTTTCAGCAGGGGGCAGGTCCACCGTCCCTCAGACCTTGTGGGAGGCTGCACTGTATTTTGAAAAAAATAATAATGAACGAATTCCTATGCCCCACAAATAACCCAGAGATGCATTTTAAATAAAAGGACACATTCTACTCATGTAAAAACACGCTGATTCCCAGACTGTCCACAGACCAGATTTAGAAGCCAATTGGACCGGATATGGCCCCTGGGCCCTAGTTCGCCTATCCATGCTCTACTCTTTATGTCTGTGTCACAGCACTCCTTACAACAGCTTTGTGAAGTTGACTGGCATTATCATACCCATCTAGAGATGTTGAGGCCAAGGTGAGACTCCAGGCAGGGGACTTGCCAGATCACAGCTCATGTACAACCATATCTGCTTAAGGAAGACCTTTCTACTTATTAAAGAGATGCACAATGCTGTAGTGGCTAGGGCATCAGACTAGAATTGGGGAAACCCATTCAAATCTGCACTCAGCAAAATTATGTTCTCTGTGTGACCTTGGTCACTTTTTAACCTACCTCGCAGGATTGCTGTGAGGACAGAAATTGGTAGGAGGGGTGAAGTGTCTCAGAGGATGTTGTCCTGAGTGTCTCAGAGGAAAGGCAAAATGGAAACGCAACGTTCTGTCAAATACCATCAGTACCATCCACTATTGCCACATACCAAGATACATGCAGACATGGAATATTGAAGTTGACCAGCATATGTTTGGGAATCACTAGAATTTCCAGAAAATATTGGGAGAATATCCATCTTATGAATTTGCAATTGGAGAATCAGAGAAGCCTTTCAAGGAGCAATTCCATTTCAGCTGTCCGCACAGATGTCTCCAGCCAGTCCATTTCAAGCAGAGTTATTCCTCCTTCCACTGGAATGAATGAGGAAGCATCAGAGCTGTATGTGACTGTCTGAACATTCAAAGTTCCCTTATGATATACGTACAAGACTTATGTAAGGATGGTCCCATCAAGAGACAGAGTGAGGCAGCCGTCTCATGCAGCAGGGACAGAGAGGCAGAGAGAGATCCGTGTCCTGCACCCCCTAAGATAGCCTTCTGCCCTCAGGTGCAGTCTCCTCCTTGCTACCATCACTGCAACCCATCCACTTTCCCTCTGCCTCTGGCCCCAATCCACGCAACTACCCAGGAGAGTGAAAGAGAAGGGGATAAAAATGCTCCCTTTCTTCACTCTGGTCTCTGGGTGGGAACTGCATGCAGAAGATCTCAGGTTCAATCCCCAACAGCATCTCCAAGTAGGATTGGGGAAAATGTTTGCCAGTCAGTGTGGCCAGTACTGAGCTCAATGGACCAGTGCTCTGACTAAGCACGATGCAGTTTCCTAGGTAGCAACAGCACAAGGGCTTGGGGGATCTGGAGTCAGTGGTGGGCCCCTGAAGTGTTGGGGGCCCTGGCAGGTGCCTGGCAATACCAATCAGTGGTGATGGCTCAGTCTTGGGACCTACTTCAATGCAAAGTAGGTGCTCTGCCACCAAGCTACACTCATATCACCAGGCAAGCATGTCTATATTTAAGACAATTTTTTTTCAAAATTCAGCATTTGCTTGCAACATTTCTCAAGATCTGACATTCTGATGGTGAAGAACTGGGTGAAATATGCTTCTCTATTCCTTTGATGAAGAGGGAAAGCTCCCCCATTTCTAAACGGGCAAAGCCAAACTATTCTCCATCTTCCTCCCCCTCCCCACCCCTCCTATAATTCTGTCTCCAAGGGATAACTTAACAGTTACTTTCCTGCCAGTTCCGTCCAGCTGATTTAACAGCCTCCTTAGCAAGCAGCCTCTCTGCTTCTCAATGCCAGCCTCTACATATACTGCACTGTTAAAACAACTGACTCATTATGCCCCTTGGTCACATTGTGAACAAGTCATTCTCTTAGCCATGCCTGTCCGTGTGCACCTTTTATATATATATAAACAACACACACATATTTTTCACCCTTTTCCTTTCTATATATACTTCAGACGCACTTTGGCCCCCAACTGAGACATGAATAGCTACAGTGTACCGGATAGACTTTTACAGTTGCTCTCAAAATGCCTGCAGGAAATGAGGTGTGTGGAGGAAGGAATAAAGATCCCTTCAGTGTCTCCCTCTCTCTGATTTTTACACATTATTATTATTATTATTATTATTATTATTATTATTTCTCAATACGCTTGTACAGAAATAAATTGTAAGCCACCCAATGTTGTCACTGCAGTGCAGGCAAAATTGACTTCTTCCTGTTTTGCATTTCAGAGGAAAATGATTCCTGGAAAATCGGTAGCATCACCACTGTCCCAAAGCTAGGCTGAAAACATTACCTGATTAGTTGGAAGGGATGGAGGGGAAATTTGATTCAGTGTACATTTGAAGTCAACTCTATCAAATCCATACTTTGCTATGCTAACCAATACACAGCCATTCTTTGAAATTTGCCCTTATCCAAATTTTGAAAAAAAACAAAACAAAAACCACACAAATTGCTGCAAAATGGAGAGCACTGGACTTAAGAATAGAAAAAAGAAAAAGAAAAAAAGAAATGGAGAGAACTTAAACTGACAGAACCTTCCACTGCTGTTAGTTGGTCATTTCATTCATTCATCACACCTTTGAAATGAAAAATTAAGATCTGAAGGATGGTTTGTTGTTGTTGGGAAGATGAATATTAGTGAGCCCAGGGGGAGTGTTGATTCTATTGTAAAAGTATTGCAGTTCTGATATAGGGTGTGATTAGCACAAATAATAATTATTCAGTACAGTGGTACCTTGATTCCCGAACTCAATTCATTCTGGAAGTCTGTTCGACTTCCAAAATGTTCGCAAACCAGAACACTTACTTCCGGGTTTGCAGTGTTCGGTAGCCGATTTGTTCGGGAACCAAGGTATCACTGTAGTGGCATTCATCCTAGTGGCTCAGGGCAGCATCCTGTTCCACATCAGCACCCACATTTTTGAGTTAATAAGTACTATTTCCATTGCTATTATTTAGTGGTCTTTTTTCTTTTAAAAATGTAAACTAAAAGCAACTTAAGCAAACATTAAAAACAAATGTAGAAACAACCTAAAATGCTCACTAATCACATGTATGAAAGAGCAGATCCAACTCAACTCAACCCACTCCACTGAAAGAGAAACAGAAAGTTAAAGTCCAAAGGCCTAGGTATATAAATATGATTTTGCCAGGTGCCTAAAAACAGAAAGTAACGGTACCAGGTGAGCCTCCCTGAGGACAGCATGCCACAAACGGGGAGCCACTACTGGGAAGGTCTGTTCTCGTGTTGCCGCCCTCTGCACCTCCTTTGGAGGGAGCACACAGAGAAAGAGCCCAGGTGACAAATGCAGTATTCCTATGCTTTTGATCACAAACTTGTGCCAGTCCAATGGATTTTTCCTTGGTTCTGCTTCCTGTGAATGAGATGGTGACTAAAGTTGCCAATGTGAACTCCACCTTCCCACTTTGTGTGGGTCACACTCCTCCTCCATTCACATCAGACTTGTGTAATGACCTTTCTATAAATACCTTTTTTTATTGCATTTACAAAAACATTATCTTACACCACTTTTCCCCTGTAGATAACAAAAATGAAACAAAGAAAACCCAACCCCAAAACCTGCGAAGTCATTGAGGAGATGCTCATACATTATAGGTAAGTACAATTCTATTAATCTAATTTAAGCAGACACATTCATCAGGAAGTCCATATTTCTTTTCTAGATGCGGGTAAGGAGTCATGCAAATTTGTAGCTGATGCATATGATATAAAGTCCCACCAAGTCACCAAAAAGTTTTCCTCAGGTTCTTTGCCTTTGAGTACACAAAGTTTGTGAGCTAAGTTTTCGGTGACTTCTGTAACAACTTTGATGGATGTTGTAAATTAGCGCATATGGCAACTAGCATATTTGGAGTTTAACTCCATTGGTGCAAAATCACAAGGTACAACATCACAGACACCGGCACAAGAGTCCTTGAACTGTGGACCCACCCACATAGCCTTTCATTTCAAATGCCACTATCAGGCTGTGAAGGAAAGATTCTGGGCTGCAATCTCACAATCTATAGAGGGCTGTTCAAAGGAGGACATAAGAAATCGCAAAAGCTAAACTTGGATGGAGAAAAGTCATTACCACCCAAACTGCATGTGGCAGGAGGGACGCAACAGAGCAAGAGGGCTCTGAAATTGTTCCTGTCACTCATCGCTTAAAGCTTTGCTCCAGAGCACCAATTTAACACCAGTTTTAGCAGACGGAGGTCAATAGGGTAGAAACTCTGGGCGATCTTTGACCTCTCGAGAAGCGTGCCGTCTTTTTTCTCAGAGGACAACAGGCTTGTAGGTTGTTTAAATAAAACACAGGGGAGCTGGGGGCCGGGGGGGGGGGGGGAGAAGGTAATTCTTGAAACCTTTTGGAGTCAGCATGCTAGAAATCCTAAAGGGGAATATCTTTCGTTCACACTCAATAGTTAAATACATGGCCGTGTCAAACCCTGCATGAAGATAGTGTTGCTTTGTGCTGCACGGTTTCCAGTTCAGCTAGACACATAGATGGCATTATGTTTAGCTGGCCCAGATCTTGGGGCATAATATTTTTTTAAGCACTGGACTAAATATTTTTAACATATGCAAACATGCATGACTGAACCAGTTCCAGAATTCAGGGCGCAGTGACGCTGGCGGGTGTTCAGGACGGAACAATGTCAGCTTTCTCCTTCTGACGCAGCGCAAGGAGACGCTAAACTCTGGCACTTTCAAGTAAACGGGCAGGCGGGGGGGGGGGAGGCAAATTGCAGGCAGATTTTTCAGACTGACTTTGTAACAAAATGCATTGCGGAGGCGAAAGAGACAACAGTCTACCAAGATGCTGCGGAGTGGGATGGAAAGATGGCACATGCCAGGCACATTTTTACCAAGAGGAAGTGTGCCAGAGTCTAA